ATCAGTGAAGCCACCAGGTCCCTGGCCTTTCTTTGCTAGGAGATTTTTGATAGGCGATCCAATCCCTTACTAAGTCAAGGTTTGGTCACATGTCCCTATTTCTTTGTTATTTAGACTTGGTAGGGTTATTGGCCAGGAATTTTCTTTTCATCTATGTTTTTCCAACCTTGTCTTCACTTTCATTTTGATGTTCGAGTTTGAGTCTTCTCTTTCTACTGCCATCATCTAGTTCATGGTTTTCAATTTTGCAGTCTTCTCAAAGATAACTTTTCGGTTTCAATTGATTTCTTGTTTTTGTTTTACTTATCTCTGTTAGCATCTTATTATTTCCTTCCATCTGCTAGTTTTTAGGCTATTTTGTTCTCTTCTCATTGTAATCTAAAGTTTTTACTTTGGGGTCTTCATGTTATTTTCATTTTAAGTGATGCTTAGTTGTGTTCCCTGAGTTTTGTGAATTTTTTCATTTTCACTTGGTCCCTTAAATATTTTGTAATTTCTTGGTGATTTCTTTCTTTGATCCATGGTTGTTTAAGAATAATAGTTGTTTACCATTTCCACAAAATTTTGTGACTTTCTCACTTTCACGCCTTAATTGATTTGGTAATTTTATCCATTGTTAGTCACTGAAGATACTTTTGCGATTAAATGTAATTAAAAACATCTGTTTGATTTAATTTGTTACTTTACATATGGTTTATAACAAATTATCCCAATGTGCACGCAAAGAAATGTACAATTGGGTATTTTATTTATTTATTATTTGGCAGGCTGGAGATTGAACTCCAGGGCCTTAACTTGCTAGGCAGGTATCTACACTTGAGCCACTCCAAACAGCCTTGCCTATTATTTTTTTTAAATTTTTTTAGAAAATATTTTTTATTATCATATTATTGTTGTACTGGGGATACATTGTGACATTTACAAAAATTCTTACATACATCATAGCTGAAATTCACCCTCCATATTCTCCTTTACACCCCCATCGCCCGCATTCCTGGAATATTTGAATAGGTCTCATTTTTCCAGTTTCATACATGAGCAATTGTTGATAGTGTGGTTCTGTATATGTCTGTTAGTATGTTGTTTCAATCTTGTATTTCTTTGTTTATCTTCTGTGTGGCTCCTCTATTATCGACGAGTGAGATACTGATGTTCTTCATTTAACTAACTGTGAAATTGTCTGCTCTTCCCTTCAGTCCAGTTTTTGCTTCATATAAATTATTTAACCTTCTGTTACTAGAGTAACATGTTTTATCTTACTGTGTTGGGATTTTTTTTAATTAAATTATATAATATCCCTGTGTGTCATTATGCCAATGATTGTCTTCATCTATAAAAAATGTTATTAGCTTTATCCACTTGCAATGTTAAGCCAGTTAGTTTTATTGAATTAGATTTGGTTCATTTGGTTTTTAAGTGACTTGATTTTTTTTTGGCTATTTGAACAAAAGTCATTTGGAATTATAATCTCTCCTCAAACATTAACAATAGGTCTGACCTCATAGAATCTTTCCTGGCTTTTTTTTTTTTTTTTTTTTTCTTTTTTCCCACATTGAAGACCTTTTAGAACCAGAATTTTAGAAACATTGCTTAGAATAATGTTTATTTGAGTCATTTTAAGTTTAATGTTCAGGCAATAGATGTTTTCCCTCAACTCTAATGAGCAGGGTTTGAATGTTTATTGTTTTGATGCGGGAATTTGAATTGTAGGGCTGGTGCACAATAGACCAAGTGCCTCATGCAACTGAGCTATACCCGCCATTCCTATTGAAAGTCTTTTGTATAACATGTTTGTAAGAGTACATGTTATTTTAATATGATCTTAAATGTAAAATGTAATAAGCTCAATTTTTAAATAAGCCTCCTCAAGCTAATATTTTATTAGCATGGTAAGGTATATTGTAAAAGTTGTTAAACATCTCAAATTACAAATTAAATCAGCCATTCTCTGTATATATTCTGTGGCATATGTCTTCATAGGCAAGTCAAAATGTACAAGAAAAAAGAATAAATCAATATAAAAGTTACCCAACTAGATTTTTTTTGTAAATACAGATTTAATGTAGTAGTTTAACCCTGGTTTTATGAATTTTCTTGTAACATTGAGAATAGGAATAAAATCAGTACTTTTACTGACAGTGTTGATGACTCATTCATGCAATTTTCATCAAAATCTCAAGATTAATAAAAATTCTGGTAATTGGTAAAGAGTTACCAATTGTTGCTCTGTAATATTGTGGTATTTAAGTCTTATTGTGTAATTTTGGGCAGTGTTGATCCACAAATTTTACATTAGTAAGTATAGTAAATTCTTTATTCTTTTATAGCGTATTTTGGAGTAATAAACATGGGATTTCCAAGTAGTTCAGTGCATTTTTCTTTCAGTTATTAGTTGAAGTTGCTTTAGGTCTGCTTCTTGAAATAAATGTGTCCCTAGAATGGATTATTTGCCAAACTAAAGGAAAATATATACTGGAAAGGGGAACTTAACATATTACTGTTTGAGAAATCATTTGTTTAGTACTATGTTTTTGTTACCAGCCTCAATTTGTCCCATTAAGTCTCTGTCTCTAACTCCCCCACTCTACCCTGAATATGTTAGGACCTCAAGAGCTTGATTAATTTTGACAAACCTTTGTTGGTTTGTTTTCCTGATGACTTCACTGGCCTTCAAAACAGGCATGAGACTCTGTAAATCAAATCCCAGTACCACCAAACAAGCAAACAACAACCCCAAAAAAACCCTTAGTCCTTACATTCTGTGTCTATGGCCACTTCTCTGAACCCATTAATACTGCCTCTGCTCTCTCATCAGTTTTATTTTGCCTCCCACCTGCAAATAGGGACTACTATAGCAAAACTGTAACTTGTTAATCATTCATAAGTGAGCCTTTAAAACATAATTTGATTAATGGATTTTCTTTCTGGAATAGCCGTTGTTTTATTTTTTTAACTTACAGTGCTTGGTAATACTATAACATATGGGGAATTTTCCTTGTTATCTTTTGCTTCACTAACCAGGATATTTACTTTTAAAAATAGTGTTTCCTGACCATGTTTCCTCAAGAATTGAAGTTCCTGCTTCTTCTTGCCTCAAAATATTGCAAAGAATTGAAACCACTAAATCCAAGTCTAATAGCTGGACCCCAAGCTCTCAGCATTGAGTTCGTTTTGAATCTTTGCCTCCTTCCGTGATAGGTGACCTGTTTGTTTTAATTCAGTGAGCTAATTTAACAAATGAGCATTGGCATCATGTTAATGTATCAGATACTGTGAATACAGTGTCAGTGGGTAAACATAATTTTATTGATAATGTTTAGAATTTAGCTGCATCTATGGAGTTTTGTCATCCCCCTTACGGTCTTCTCCTTGTTTTCAACATTTTAATTTATCCTGATGAAGATACTTTCCTTTGCTCACTTACAAGATTAGTATAAATATCGTCCAGAAAAATTTATAGTCGTACTAGCTTCTGTTGACAAAAAATATTTAATTAAAACTTTTCAAAAATTGAGCTGGAGGCAATGGCTCAAGCAGTAGTACACCTGCCTAGCAAAGTACAAAGTCCTAGTTTCAAAACACCAGTATCATCCCTCCCCAACAAAAAACTTATACAAGATTATTTTAATTTTCTATAGGCAAAGAGTTTGAAACAAATAGAATTAAAAAAACTAACTACAGTTTACTTTAGTTTTCAATAGAAATCAAATGAAAATACACAAAGCCTTAAGCACTAGCATAAATATTTCTGTATCTGGCTATGAATAGCCAGGAATAAAGAAATATGTGCACAAATACGCCTTTCTACACTATGTGTCCTCACAGGTTATATTATAAAAGCATCGATTATTAGTGACTATAATCATATAGTGAGGTTTTTTCTTTGTTTTTTTTTTTTATGGTGGGTACTGGGGTTTTGAACTCAGGGCCTCAATGCTTTTGCAAGGCAGGGTGCTCTACCACATGAGCCAGTTCAACAGCCCTTTTTGAGATAGAGTCTCTGAATTGCCTTGATTGGCGATCCTCCTGATCTCCTGCGCCTCCCAATAGTTAGGCAATTATGAGCATGAGCCACCGGTGTTCTTGCCTCATATAGTAAGATTTTTTTTAAAGTGGTAAATTGTATAGAAAGTCAAGTTGGAGGAGAGACAGTTTGGAGGAGAGAAGAATCCAAGAAGAGGATGGTTGAATTTTTTTTGTTTTTTTTTAAAAGTTATACTGGGGATTAAACAAGGGCCTTATGCTGTTAGCCAGTGCCTCTCCCACTCAGCTATAGCTCCAGCCCTTTTTTTAAAATTTTATTTTGAGACAGTCTCACTGAGTTACTGAGATTGGTCCTTGACCTTGCGATCCTTAGCCTCCAGAGTAGCTTGGGATTATGGATGTGTGCCATCATGCCCTGCTCTGAATCATTCTTTGTAAAACAAAATAAGGCTACTAGTATAAGACTTTTTTTATTATCCATGTGAATATAATTTCCCTTGGGGTGATTTGTTTAAGTGTCCTAAACTTTGCATTAGAAAAATTTAACAAATTATGATACATTCGATACTTGGCTCTTCATTTTAATGGCTCACAGGAGAAGTTGTGCATTATATCCTTTAAGTAGGCTTTTATTGTTTTATGCTCTACTTTAGATAGTGGAAAAATGATATTTACAGTCTGGATAGTTGAATCATTTTGCCTTAAGTTTTAATTTAAGGTCACTATTATTAATGTTGTGGACTATGCAGATTCTACTATAACTTGAACTGAGTTTCTTAGTTTTTTTAAAAAAATGTTCAAGTTGGTTACATGTCATGTCTTTGTTTTTGTTTTTAAGCACAGCAGTGCCATAAAGCTTCCTAAAAAGCATAGTTGGGTAAGATTATCTCCCGTGGCTCGTTCATCTTATGTTTATTAAATTCTTTGGAACTTTTTTTTTTATACTGTCAGACTAATGTTGACTCTTTTCCTACAGCATCGGATCTTTGTTGGTATCATTTCTATCCCTGTATTAGCCCTGCTTTTCCTTGCTAGGCGTGATTTTGGTTCCCATCATTAACCAAGGATGCTTCAAATTCCTTCTCCCATTCCCTTGTTGCACTAGCTGTAGGAACAATGAGTGGGAGATGCCCTTCTTCATTGCTGCCCATGTAAGCAATCTTTTAATCTGTTAAACTAAAAATACAAAATATTTAAATTCAAAAGGTTCTTCCGTAGCCCAGCTGGTGGCAATACACTTAGTATTTGTGTTGTTTTGTTTGCCTTATAGAATGAAGCTTTTTTCTTTCCATTTTCACAGTTTTATAGCATGGTTTTTTGAAATAAATGGGAATCGTTAATTTTTTAAATAGTATATATATATTTTAACTTTGCACGTATTTTTAAAGAAGCCTTTAGAAGAAAATGTATAAGGGGTATTATAATGATTGGTGCATGTATCCACAAGTCTCAGTATAACCTGCTAGTAAAGCTAGTTGGTGTTTTATTTTGAACTAAATAAAGTTGTCAATGTTTAAACTTCAATTTACAAATGGATTAATCACTCCCTATTATGTCTTCTGGCTTGATTCTTTTCACTGTAGTTATCTATCTTATTTCTAGAGGTGTTTTAGTTTTGTTTATCACAAAAATGGTAGTACTTTCAGACAACAGAGTAAGCAAATTAAATGGAGATTACTTTAAGTGAGATAATACCTAGGAGAGTAATTTGAAAAATTAAAAGATAGTCACACATTGATCGTGTGCAACTGTGCAGAATTTTCTGATAGGAGTTTGAAGGTAGAAAATAGTGTTTATCAGAGGCCTGGAAGAAGGTAGAGGCCAAGAGAGCGATGGAGAGAGGTAGTCAGCAGGTACTAAGTTATAGTCAGACAGGAAAAAGTTTCTGATTGCTCTGTACAGTGGTGGTGACATTAGAGAAGATTAATGTAATATATATTTTTTTCAAAAAAGCCTAGAAGGATTTTCAAAATGTTTCCACACAAAAGAAATGGTAAATGTTTGAAACATTATATAGTATGTATGCATTGACACCTGTAAATACATACAATTGCCCTATGTATTAATAAAAAATAAAAATAATCCAAATTATATGAAAAAGCTAAAAAGGTACAGTTGTGCCCCTATCGAGAAGCACCCTAGATTATAACCTAAAATGTGAAATATTTCAGTGAGTTGTTTTAGTAGTTTCTTCGTCTTTCTAGTCTTCAGGGTGACACACGATCACAGGGTCACACACACATGGGCATGGCCACTCTCCACGGGCACGAATCGAAGAAGTTCTGGAAGAGTACGATGCTGTGTGAAGACTAGTCTCTAGGAGGCATTACTTGCTGTTTATCATTGAGAACATTGCATTCGAATGTTTAACAACTACAAACAACAAAAGTAACGTATTCGTTATTCATTTTATGAGATATACAGCTCAAAAACAAAATCATCTTTTTTCCAGCATAATCTTTTCTTAATTATGATTTTGATGTGTATTACCCCTCTGTCCTTTGATTGTAAATTTGCCCCCTGGTCCTAAGATCAAACCAGGAAAGGAACTCTGACATGTTAGGCAGCCCTTCCACACTGAGTTACATCCCTCACCCCTACTTTAAAGGAAAAGTTGAACTTGAATCTTTGCAGCTTTTTTGTCATTAAATTTATTTTGGGTGTTTATGATCAACATAGAGCAGTCTCAGTTTTAGCCCTATGTCTGTTATATCATACCTAATTGACTTCCACCATAGAATGACAAAAGCTATTGACCATTTTTATTTATTATAAGAGTAGTCAGTGAAGCACACCACACCAGTTTTCTTAGTTCTCATTGTACTACATCTTCTAATGAAATATTTCTCACACACACCTTTTTTTTTTTTTGGCAGGTACTGAGGTTGAACTCAGGCCCTACACCTTCAGCCACTCCACAGCTCTTAGTTTTCTTTTCCAAACTCTTTGTTCAGACTGGCTCTTCAAATCCATGATCCTCCTGATCTCTGCCTCTGAGTTACTAGGATTATAGGCGTGAGACAGTCTGGTACCTGAATTATAAAAGCCTCAACTAATATTAGAATACTTGAGCCTAAGGAGATCCGAATAAGGGGAACTTTGGAGGGAGAAAGTTGAATGAGATGTGATAAAGATGCTAGAACTGTGAAATACCCTGATTACCATGCTGTCTGTGGCTCAGTGTCCATTTATGAGAATAAAGAGAAATATCTAAAAAGAATTTCTCCCCAACAGGACATTTCCAGTCTCTCCATTCCCTATGGTTTTAACCTCCTCCCTCTTACTTTGGTTCATACCCACTTCAAAGCCATGTCATGAATACATGTCCATCGAACGGTTTAGCTGCTAACCATTACTCATAGTGCAGTTATATTCATTAAGTAAACCATGAAACTCCTTGATTTTGTTAAGTCAAAATATGTTTTTTTTACCCACAAAAAGTCTGAATAATCATGATCTTATGGGTTAATCTTAATTTTAGTGCTATTTTTATTTTGCATATTATGTATCTTGAATATATCTCTTTGAGACAAAATGTATTTTCTTTGTGTTTTCTTTTTTTGCTTGTTTTTAGTGAGATCTGTTTAATAATTTTTTGAGGATTTTTTTCTTTTGTAAATGGCTGAATTTTCCAACAGGTACGTTAGTGGAGAAAATAAAACTTTCAATTTGACATGACTGTGAAAGAGTGTTTTTAAAGTATACCCATAAAATTTAACTGCTCACAACACTATACTTTGATATGTATCATAATACCAGTCTTAAACTTCCACGACTATTAATGCAACGAGCAACTATTAATCTCCACCAAAAGGGAACAAAACAACTCTTATTGAGTTTTATTTTTGTTTGTTTTGAGGTGTGTTTACAAACATTAAGTAAGAACTGGCAAAATACTTGTTTGGTCCTCCTCTATGGATTCCCTTCCTGAGGGCAGAAGCTTTTAGAGAGGAGTATGACTTTCACTGAAAGAAAAATTACTGAGTGTATCTTTGCTAATCAGTAATGCACTAGATTCCTTTAAAAAGATCCTAACGTTGAACTCAACTGGCCTTTGGTCATAAAACAGTTACAGCATTGGCCGTCTTTATGTCAGCAACTGGCAGGAGGAAGCTGCAGACCTTTTCTGACCCACAAAGCTAAAACTGTAGGGAAGTCAGATTGATAGCCAAAGGGATGGAGCTGCATCTGGCGTCAAATCAAGATCCCATGGTTTATCTATCAGAATGCCAATTGTTAAGAGGCAAGATCACATGAAGATAGCAAGTTTTTAACCTACACTGACAGATGGGGATTAATTGTTTTGTTTAACAGAGCTCTTGCCCTGGGATTCAGGGGAAGTGATTCTAGTTCATGCACAAATTAGCTGTGTGACTATGACTCATTGCCCATGATCTCCAGTAGCCATCTAAATAAATGGGAAATAAGTCTTCTTGTCTGTTATTTTTCATATCATTTCCAAATTTGGTATTATTTTTAAAGTTATCATATTTTAGTAGAACATCATCCGTATTTAATTGTTCCAAAGAAGGGATGACTAAGATGGTGAGCCTGGTAAAACATTATCTGAGGCATGGGAAAGGAACTGGTAAGGGCCAACATTAGAGGAAATGAAGAGACCTAATTAACATTTCGTCTTTGAAAGGGCCATCATGGAAGGTAAAATAATTCATCCAGGGAAGAAGGCCAGAATAAAAATATGGTGAGGGTGTGGCTAGATGGACACAATAATACTTTAAGGAGAGTAATGCAGACTAATTTAGAAGGCAGGTGAGAGGGACTCAAACAGGAGTCATGGCATAGGAATAAGAAAGACAACACAATTATAAGAGCTCAATCCCTTAAGCTTGTATGTGGTTCATGCTAATAATCCCATCTACTTAGGAGGTAGAAGATAGATGGGAGGATCTTGGTTTCGGCCAACAGGTAAAAAGTTGCAAGACCCCATCCTCAATCAATAGCCGGGCATGGTGCATGTGTTGTGATCACAGCTATGGGGAGCCCTAGATTAGGGGGATTGCAGTCTGAGCCCCAGACAGGGCAAAAATGTGAGAACCCTACCTGAAAAATAACTGAAGCAAAAAAACGGCTAGGAGTGTGGTTCAAGTGATAAAGTGCCTGCTAGCAGCCAACACAGGCTCTTGATTTCAAACCCCATCACCCCAGAAAAATTCATTAAAAATCATATGGCCATGGGAAAAGGATTTGAATAAAAATCAGTACTATTCCTTCTGATAAAAACCTAAAAGTAGATTAGGTGTAGAAGAATTTGTCCCAACCTGATGAAGGGTCAACCCTCAGCCAAAATACGAGTAGAAAAAAAATAAAGTGTCCTATGAGATTTTTCGAATGAAACAATGTGGTTTAGTTAGAGTAGTTAGGCAACAGAAGAATTATTCTGTTTGTAGAAATAACGATTTTGTATGATTCTATGTGAGAAATATCCTATTATTCTATATATTGAAAAACAGAAAGACTTCACCAGAGACTATTTAACAATAAATGAATTCAGCTAAAATTTTTGGGTACAAATAAAATCCAAAAATCGCCAAGTAATGAAAACTTGATGAGTAAGAAATCATGAAATAAACAGAATAAGTTTAAACCCAAGAAATGACAAGACTCTACAATGCAAATTACAAAACACTGAATGCCCGAGGGTGGAAAAAAGATGTGAAATTTTTTTTTAAAAAAAATTTAAAAAGACCTCCCATGTTACAATGTATTCGAAAAATTACTATTGTGAAAATGTTTTCCTTCCTCCAACATTCGGTATAGTTCCGCATCAAGATAACTAATGACATCTTTATAGAACTATAAAAAACAGTCATGAAAATTCATATGGACAGCAGAAAGGAACCCCAAATAGCCAAAAGAGATCTTAACACAAAAATAAACTGGAACTAGAGACCTCAGCATCCCAGATTTCAGATACATCCTGCAGGAGCATAGCCAACCTGCATGGTACTGGCAACAGACACCCAGACCACAGAAGAGAATAGGGCTCCTGGAAATAAACTATTTATTTGTAGCCGAACTGAATTCCAATAAAGAAAGAATAGCTGGGAAAAATTGGAATATCCATATGCAAAAGATTAAATGACCCCTGCCTCTTCCCCCCATAAAAAGTAAAACCTCATAATGAATCAAGACTTAAAAAAAGTATGACCCGAAGTATGAAACTATTAGAAGAAAACAGGTCAAAACTCTTCCAAAAGTGATTTTTTTTTGGGGGGGGGGGCAGATATGACCCCTCAAAGCACAGGGACAATAACAAAACTAGAAAATGGGATTGCAACAATTTTAAAACGCCTCCTCTACAGTGAAGAAAACAAAATACTCAAGAGTGTAGAGAAGATCTACAAGAACTGGGAAAAAATGTTCAACCAAGCCATCAGCTAACAGAAGATTATTTATCCAGATTATCTAATATCAAAAATCACAATGAGAGGACTAGGATGTAGCTCAGTATAGACCACTTGCTTAATCTGTTGGTCCTGAACTTGACCCCAGTCCTGCAACCAAACAAACAAACAAAAAACAAAAACTTACAATGAATATCACTCCAGTAAGCATACCTACTTACAAAAAGACTAAAGATAAGTGCGCTGGTAGGATATGGAGAAAAGGGAAACCCTGTACTCTGTTGTGGGACATATAAGTTAATTTATACTTAATATAAAAGTCCTGGAGATTCCTCAAAAATTAAAAATCTACCACATATGACCAGACACTACTGAGTATATATCCAAAAGAAATGAAATTATTATGTCAAAGAAACATTTCAATCCCAATGTTATTCCAGCACTATTCACAGTAAGCCAGAAATGAAAACAACCTAAGTACCCCTTCCAGCTGATGAATGGATAAGAAAATTGTGGTTACTATACACATGAATACTACCAGTCCCCCCAGCATAAAAGAATGAGTTTCTTGTCATTTTGCAACAACGTCGATGGAACTGGCAGTCATTAGTTAGCTTGAAATAAGCTCAACACAGAAAGACAAGTATTGGCATGATCTCATTAAATTGTTGGAATGTAAAAAAATTGATCTTACAGAAGTTTGAGAGTTGAATGGTAAGTTACCAGAGGCCTGGAGAGTAGGAACTGGGAGGGATAATATGGGAAAGCTTGAATCAGGAGTACTGAGTCACAGTTACATAAAATTAAAATTCGGTGGTACTGTTTGTTACACATAGGATGACATAATAACAGTAATGTGCTATATATTTCAAAAAGAAAAATTCTGTAAGTTCCCACATATAGAGATGATAAATGAGAACAAAATTGCTTAACCTCAAATTTTAATGTTGTAAAATCTATACATGTATCAACACACAATGTGGACCCTGTTAATTATTTAGAATTTTTATCAAGTTAATATTTTAAATGCTAAAAACGGGCAATGAACGTGAATAGACACTTCTCAAAAAATACATATAGGCTAAAGAAATATATGACAAAATGTCCAACTTTTATTTTCCTTTAGGGAAATGCAAATCAACAAGTACGATGTTAGATCTGCCATACTCACATGCAATGAGGTCCTGGTTCAAGCTCCAGAGAACCAACCAAGAAAAAATTACCTTGTGAATGAATAATCTGCACCCAGTTAGAATGGATTAATAATATATAATAATAAAAATGCTGGGTGAAGTCATGGAGAGAAGGGAACTCTTACAGTGTTTCTGGGAATGTAAGCTAGTAGCTACTGTGGAAAACAGTAAAGGAGGGTCTCTCAAAAACTCAAAGTAGAACTACCAATATGACCACTGTCCTACTCTGATATATACTAAAAGAAATGAAATCAATTACCCTCTCTGCCATATTGCAGACTATTCAAAATAGCTTAAGATACGAAGCAGGCCCGTGGTGCCCATCACCAGAATGAATGAAAAAAGAACTGGTGTATATAACACAATAGAAATTGTTCATACATAAATAAAAATGAAATGTCTTTGCAGCAAAATAGAACTAGAAAATAATTACGTGAAAATAGGCCTAGACAAGAAAGATGAAGGTTGCACGTTCTCTCATATGTTGAAGCTTACAAAAAACAATTACCTATCTACACATAGAAGAGTGATTACTAGAGGTTAGGAAGAGAGGGGAAGATACAGGTAACCAAATACGTTAGATAGGATTCCGTCCTGGTGTTCATGAACCTGGTTCCCAAATAGCGATTTATATTTTGTGAAGAATCTAGACCGGAGCTGAGGATCTCACATAAAGAAATGAAAAAGAGAATGAGGATGCTAAGTACCTCCAGTTTGATTAGTACAATGTTGTATGCATGTTTTGAAATACCCAAACTGATCCCATTAATATGTATAATTAATGTTAGATAAAGAAGGGAAAAGTATAAAATCAATAGAACTAAAGAGAGCTTATCCTACTGCAATGTGTGCTTCATATTCATCTGTTGGCAAAATTGAATCAAAAAGGCCAAGCCAAGAATGCTAGGGCAGCTAAAAATGTTTAGGGGTAGACGCCTCTTCATTTTTTTTTTTTTTTTTTTTTTTTTTATGGGTATGATAGAATGCCGCACACTGAAGGAGGAGAATGGATGGCCAGCTATCTTTGGAAACAGATGGAAAGATAATTAAGTGAAATAAGCCAGACATAGAAAATAAATGCAGCATTTAAGAAGACCTACACATCTGACTTCACAGTTTATAGCCCCTAAAACAACAAAATAATCAAAACAAAAAGGTGCCATACCAGGCAGTAAGCCCATCCCACAGAGCAATAGTGAAAACACTATTCTAGCTTATTTACCTTTTCCTTAGCAATTGGAGGAGAAGCGAAGTTTTAAGTTTGGAAACGTTGTTTATATGGTAGTTAGTTCAATATAAGAAGGTAGGGGATTAGAGGCTTGGCTCAGTGATAGAGTGAACCCCTGACGTTAAACACCTAGTACATCAAAAAAAAAAAGAAAAAAAAAAGAAATTGATTAAGTTTTTGCCAGGTACTGTGGCTCACACCTATAACCCCTATCTATTTGGGGGACTGAGATACGGGAGGATCGCAGTTTTCAGGCCAGCCAGACAAAAAAAAACACGTTTGTCAATGGAAAAAAGGTGAGGTGGTGGCAAGCCCCTGTTCATTCCAGTGAAGATGGGAAGTGTAAAATAGGAATTGGTACAGTCCAGGCTGGCCTGGGCAAAAAGGAAGACCCTATCACCATACTAACCATCATACTAACCATAGCTAAAGGGACATGGAGACGTGGCTCAACGCGGTAGAGCACCTGCCTAGCAAGTGCAAAGCCTGAGTCAAACCTAGTACCAACCAACAAAAGTAATAAAAAAGCCAGATTGTAAGAACACAAATAGGAACTATTCAACCTTAAACTATGAAATATGAAATTAGTAACATCTATAAATAATGAGGATAGGTTATATGCAGTGTCTGATTGCCAGAAGTGTTAAGAAAAACATGCTTATCTTCAAAGTTGCTAAGAGTCAGTTACTGTGATTGGTCATTTTTCAACACACCCTCATTAATCCTCGTAAGAATCCTTTTGTTTTACAGATGAGTATTCTTTTTTTTAGTAATTAATAACTGCCAAGTCTTAGAAGTCAACAAAAAATTCAGATTCTAATTCAAGGTTGGACTTACTCCATTATGTTCACACGCAAGGAAATGTGAGATTCCATTAAATATAAAATTAAAATTCAAGAGAACAAGCTTTTAAGTTTAGAAAAACGTCTTGTACTGTTAGAATATAACAATTTATTTCACTCATTTCATTTGGTGTACATAATTTAGTAACTGTGCACTTTTTTTGTGGGAGCACTGGCGGTTTGAACTCAAGGCTCATGCTTGCTAGGCAGGCACTGCTCTCACTTGAAACCATCCCACTCTCTCACTTGAACCACTCAGCCAAGGCCCTTTTTTGTGTTGACACTTTTTTCAGGATAAGGGGGAAACCCCCCCCTCATAACTGTTTGCCCCGGCTGTCCTTGAACTGTGAACCTTCTGACCTCTGCTCCCAAGTGGCTGGCACTTTTTTTTGTGGGAAGCACTGGCGTTTGAACTCAAGGCCTCATGCTTGCTAGGCAGGCACTCTCTCACTTGAACCACTCAGCCACTCTCTCACTTGAACCACTCAGCCAAGCCCTTTTTTGTGTTGAGCATTTTCAGGATAGGGACTCATGAACTGTTTGCCCAGGCTGTCCTTGAACTGTGAACCTTCTGACCTCTGCTTCCCAAGTGGCTAGGATTGTAGGTGTAAGCCACTGATGTTCGGCTTCTGTTCTTAACTTTAAAGTAGATTAATTGAACCTCATAGTTTAGTATTTAAAAGTATATGCAAATTTAGGTGAATATTTCATCTGCTTAGGTCCCTTGATTGACCTACAAATATTTTTTCTCACTGCTTTTCTAAAATAATATGTGTATAAAGTTAGCACCAATTGTTTCCAATAGTTATTAATAAGGGGATATTGCTAATTGTGGCTACATAATTTTTATACTTATGTCAGATTTTCTTTTTTTTTCAGGGAAAACAGAAGTGGTTTATAAAACAGAGCACTGAAGAATCTACTATAGGAAGAAAGCTTTCAGATCATAAGTTAAACAATACACCAGATGCTGACTGGCTTCAACTTAAGCCTCTTGCAGGTAGTCAACAGTTCTGACTAAAGAGAAACTTTTAAAACATAAAAATTTTCTATTGCGCCTGTGTTTACAATTTTTTTGTCTTTGTGACTTCCTTAATATTAGACTTTCTATCATATTTTTCCTTAAATGTGAGTGTGTCTTGTGATTTTAATTGTTGGTTTATTCTAGTTAAATTTCAGCCTTAAAATGCTAGGATATGGGATCAAGAAACATTTTGCATTTCTAGTTTGCAGAAAAAAATCTTAGTAAAACAAAAAGGACCAGGTGTTGTGTACACAACACCAGTAATCCCAGTACACCAGAAAGGTCATGAGTTCAGGGCCAGCCGTGTGAGACTTCGTCTCCAAAAAAAAGGTCTTCCTGGGTAGTGAATTAGTTATTTCTTGGCAGTGCAAAATCTCTTTATCATCCACATGAGCTACTCCACTAGCCCATGAAAATGTTTTTTAACCTCATTTCCCTCACTTTCTGTTTGAACTTACGTGTTCCCTCAGTGTACTAATGATTTCCTGCAAAAAAGAACAGCCTACAACCTAGCTGTGGAAATCTGCCTCAAAATATAACTGGGAAGTATCAAGTGCTTTGTCATAAAATAGCTTTGGAAAACTAGTTGAAAAGCCAACCTCAGTTTATAAAAAAATTGCTTATCAGATGTTGCCCGCACGGGCTTCTGAACTTTGCTCTTTCAGCGATCTGAGAAGCACTGTGGAAATGGTGGAGCATTGAGGGATGTAAATAACTAATTGTGTAACTTGGATAAATTACTGAAATTATAGTCACTAACTCTAGAAAACATTGTTCTATTGGAATGACTTCAAATAATTTTAGGGAAATATATTTAAAACTTTTAAAAGATGCTCACTTAAATGCTCATTATACTGCTATTCTACCTGGGTTTATATTAGCAAATACACCTCCATTTACTTGTTGATAAAACATCCTTTGCTGTACTGCAGGAACTGATGACTCAGTTGTTTCTGAAGATCGACTTAATGAAACTGAACTGACAGATTTAGAAGGCCAACCAGAATCTCCTCCTAAAAATTACCTTTGTATAGAAGAGGAGAAAATCATGGACCATTCTCACAGTGATGGATTGCACACCATTCATGAGCATGATCTCCATGCGCCTGCACATAACCACCACGATGAGAGTAAGACCGTGCTGCGGAAACACAACCATCAGTGGCACCACAAACATTCTCACCACTCACATGGCCCCTGTCATTCTGGTTCTGATCTGAAAGCAACAGGAATCGCTAATATAGCCTGGATGGTGATCATGGGGGATGGTATCCACAACTTCAGTGATGGGCTGGCAATCGGTGAGCAGATTGGAGACCTGCATTGTGACTTGTTGTTCTTCAAGATGGTGTTCTTCTACTATGTCTGTACAAACTAGTCTTAGAAGCTGTAATTTTATAAGATTAAAATTTATCTACACCTTAGCAAATATACTATTATGTATTACTGCTGTCATTTGGTTTTTCCAAAAGATAGGATTTTGTGTTTGATAGGTATATTTAGAAGTATAAAGGTAAAGTGTCAGTAATTTAGTTTTATTTTTTGGAAACCAAACAGATGTCTGTAGTATACTTCCTAGATAATTTCTCATTCAATGCACAGAAAAAGCAACTATCAAATTTATTTTCAAATACATTCACGCATTTGTGAAAGAGAACAGATTAATTTCAATCTTGGGCTTAATAAATTTTTCACATCTTTGAAAAGGTGAAGAAAAGTTTTACATTAAAAACATTGTATCAAATTCAAATTTATTAGGCTCTTGGTAATGTCAAGTCATATTACTAGTTTAGGAAAAGATTAATGCATGACCTTCTTTGGATCCAGACTTTATTAATCACTCAGAAACAGGCTTTGGTTTCTTTCAGAAATTAGAGACTGTTTTTATATCCATAGTAACTGTTAATACTGAAGAACAAAGGGTTCTGGTAATAGACTCAGATCATATGCCACACTGTATGTTTAAAAACCATAGCATGTAAGATAGTGAGTCATTCATATATCCTGAAATGAATTTAGATGACAGAGGAGCCATCTGTCATTGGTTAAAAGAAACGAAAAAGCAGATCAGTAAGTAGCCCTTGTTTCCTTTTTTCTTCCTCAGGAGCAGCTTTTAGTGCCGGGCTGACAGGAGGCATCAGTACTTCCATAGCTGTCTTCTGCCATGAACTGCCACATGAATTAGGTAAAATCACTGTAAAAATTTTACCAGATCTTGTCAAAGCTGACCTGTTCAATTGCAAAATACATCCAAATCTCAGAGATGTTAAAACATAAGAACGGTCGGTGCCAGGTATAAAGTATCATTTATAAAGTGTCATTAATTGTAAGGTATATCTAATATAAATGAAAAGTGCTTTTTGAAATTGATGAAATGTTTTATTTCTGTGTGCTTTCTTGGTATTTAGAAACAATTACACTGTTTTGATGAATGATCAGAAATTATGACTTCTTCACTGAATGTGACTTTTAAAAAAGAAGTTGTTTTTTTCATAGTCCTGGAGTTTGAACTCCAGGCCCCACACTTGCTAGGCAGGCACTCTACTGCTTAAACCACACCTCTAGCCCTTTTTTGGTTTTTTAGGCATTTTTTCACGTATGGTCTTGCACTTCAGTTCTCATTTTATACTTCTTGTATAGGTAGGATAACAGGTGTGTGGCACCATGCCCAGCTTTTATTGGTCGAGAGGGGAATCTCTAGCTTTTTTGCCCAGGCTGGCCTCAAACTGCAATCCTCCTGATGTTCAACTCCCAACTAGTTAGGGTTACTGGTGTGAGCCACCACACCTGCCTCAAAAATCTTAACATAACTTTCTTACATGATTTTACTAGAGTGGAGCCTAATACTTGTTAAATAATTTTTAATGTTTTGTTTATTTGTTTGTTTGCTTTTGCTTAACAATAGCCTTTGTACTATAATATTGATGTAAAACTTTTCTGTTCAGGTTGGACTTTGTTCTTTTTTTATCTTCTTACTTCTTACTCTCATTCCCCTCCCACCCCCTTCGTTATTGGTGATCATTTTCTTATTTTTATTGTATGATTATTGCCATATGTTACAAAAATATTATTTTACGTGCACATGTTTTTAATTTATGTAAAGAGTACTGTGTTATATCCCATTTTGTTCATTACCTTATGTTGCTTACCATTGTCTTTTTAGACTTCTCCATGGGTTACTAAGAGTTAATTTAAACTTCTTCCCAGTACTTAGAGCCCCAAGTATTAGAAATAACCTATAACATTTAATTTCCTGCCACCAGAGATAGTGGTGCATTGAGCATCTGTGGACTTGGTACCTACTGATGCCTGTGAGAACACCTGTGCTTATATACCCTGACATAGAATTAACAGGTGCTCAGATATATATGCCTATGAAGTACCTATCACTACCCTAAAACAGCAATACCTATGTCACCACATCTCTGCCAACATTTGGCATTAACTAAATGACTTACTTTCGCCAGTTTAGTAGGTGTAAAATGATATTTGTTGGTGTACCAATGATTGGTTTCTCTTAATATGTAGCAGTACTTTTTTTTCTCCTTTATACATTGAAAAATAATAGCAATAAATATGAACATGTATTCACATAGGAAATACCTGAGGGAAATGGAGATAGCTGGAGTTTGAAGGAAAAAACCTAATTCCACATTCTGAATGTTAAAGAATTTCCTCATGTGCTCTAACTTATTTCTTTTCAAAAACTCACTTGGCTGTGACATTTCTGTCATTTGATCAGTCATCTCGATTGGTAGTAGCTTCATTTGCTGATTTCAAATAGAAGTCTTTCATGTAATTTGCTTAAAATTAATAGTTCTCCATGTAAAATAGAAAACAATGCATTAATGCATACTTGATGGTGATTCCTTAGGACCAGGCTCCTTATGGTTTTGTTTACTTTGTCAATTTTCAGTACCACATAGTCTGGTTTTTTGTTTGTTTTGTTACTTTATGTGTTTTTTTTTGAAACAGGGCCTTGCCATATAACCCACGCTGGCCTGGAACTCACTAGGTAGCCCAGGCTAATCTTGAATTTATGATTCTCCTGCCTCAGCTACCCAAGTGCTGGAATTACAGCCTCCACCGGCTGGACACTAATCTTAATTCTTCTTCTTTTCCCATAATCTTTTACCCAGACCAAGTAATCACTGTCTTTGTTGTGTTTTGCTTGGATGGTGTCCATAGTCTCTGTGGTTTCATTGAGTTCTAATCTATCACATCTACTCATTACTAGATACAGTTTCTTAAATATAATGTGCTTATGTGATCAGAATCTTTCAATAGCTTTCCTTACATATAAAACTGGATTCATTAGTGCAACTTGCAGTGGCCTTCACTTTCTCCATATACTAACCTTTGCAGTCTCACCTGTTGGTGGTTTCTACTTCACTTAAATACAGTTTACCAAATGTAAGCTGTATTTTAGTGTAGGTGCCTGAGTTGGTCTCTTGTCCGACTGGTGGAATACCTCTACCCCTAATTCATCATATTAACAGTCCTTCTCCAACTTCATTACTGTTCTCTGCTACCTTATACCTTGAATTTACTTTGCCTCTAAACTTCACCACTTTCTCTGGGTACTTAGTATATTTTCTTTTCAGATATCCTAATTCTTAAACTGTAGGGTTTTTAATATCTACAGATATTATATCCTATAGCCTTCTCTAGCAGATATTGCCTTTAGACTAACTACATAGCAAAACAAATCAAGACTTTCATTCAGTTTTTATGTATGCGTAACATATTGCCATATCTTTAATCTTTTACTTTTAAAAAAGCTTTCTTAGTACTAGACTTAGAAAATCGACACACATCTCTAGTATGCTAGGAAAACCTCTGACTTAACCTTTCTGCCCATCTACCTAGTACCCCTTTAAGTGGAATCTGTCAGGCCACCTTTTGCTGAAGTGTGGTTTTATTGAATTTTCCTGACTCCAGAGAATCTAGTTAGGCACAGAATTGGAAACAGTGAATTTTGGAGATGAGGATTTTTTTTTTTTAACCACTTTTTTTCTCTCTAGTTCCTCATTGAAGGGGTGATGTATGAACAAATGTAGTACATAGATTAGGTTAGGTAAGCCCTTGATACTCATGAAGAGCTCTGATAAAAAGCTGTACTGGAGAACTATGCTTAACCAGGACCCCTCAGTGAGCCATTCAGACCCCAAGTACCTGCCCTTTCCCTCATCCCCACCCCACACCAAGACAGAGGTTGAGATGTTGCTACTGCTGTGAGAAGAAACATCAATACAAAGTATACCGAATTTTACCAAAAGGAAAGGGAGCATGACTTCGTGAAAACGTATTTTTCTCTCTAGTACACAGTGCTAAGTTAACAAACTACTCCATACTCTAGCTGGATAGGTTACTAGGGAAGAAAGACCATAAAGAAACGACCCAGCTTCCTCCTCTGGAGCTTGTATCTATTAACAATGTAGAAAGGTTCCATTGCACATAAAGGAAGTGAAACATGATTTGAGGGCCCAAGTTTTGCATACTGCACAGTAATGGTGTGGAGACTGGCACAAAAATGTCTTTCTCAGGACTCCCAAGCATGGGGAAAATCACTCCCCTGTAGGCTAGCATGAATAAGGAAGATTTAACTAGGGTAAGATGTGGACACATTTTTAGATAATTTGATTAAAACCCGCTCTGTCATAGCTATGTTTTTTTATTATGAATTCCTAAAATAATCCCAAGAGTTTTGTAGTTTTCCATACTAATATCAGACCCTACATGGAAACACATGTATTTAAATTACATTGGAGTCCTACCCTCAGTCATTCAGTCAGTGATTCTAGACTTTGGTGTTCCTCTCTTGAACAGATTGCTGTTTTTCAGTAGTGTACCAGGTATGTTTTTGTTTGTGACAGATCTGATCAGGCTTATATTGTACATTAGTCAGACCACCCCTATGGTCTCTTGTCCTCAACCTCCCTGGCCTACTTAAAGCAATTGCATGAGGTTTCTTTGTTCTGTTTCATATATAGATATATGAAGTCCATCAGCCAAGGAGATTCTTTCTTCAGAGATATTTCGTGAAGGAATTGAAACTGTCCTAAGAAAAGTAGAACCATGTCCTTTGTTTCATGTTTGCCCTGGGTATGGTAATGGGTGCCAGTTGCTTAAATTATTAAATCACTACTCTTTTCTGTTTGCCAAACTTGCATAACAGAATGTAAGCAAGTTACAATGTTACGTTTTTATATTCTATCTACTTTTTCCCCACTGTCCTTCAGTAAGGACCTCGTACAAAGAAAGCCAGCAGAAGGACCTATAAAGAGGAAATGAAATTGGGAATAATCCAGGAGACAGGCCAAACTGCCTTCTTGATGTTGAGTAATGTGTTTTAGCTTCAAGGAAATAAAAATTTTGATTTAAAAAAATATATATATTTTAAAGACCCAGCTCAGATAAGTTACAGTGCTGTAACATTTTTCTTTTCCTCTCCCAAGTTTTTTAAGGATTACAAAATAAGTTTTTCATAATGTGCTAAATTGTGCAGGGAAGATTGAGCATTCAATGTAGAGGTTTATATGGAATTTTAATATGTATTTAAGCATAATTTAAGAATAAAGAACCTTAAAAGCATATTCTTGTTTTTAAAAACAGATTCAGTAGTTGATATTAGCTGATGTTAAGATAACTGTACCATTGGATCATGTTAGTTTAACAGCTTTAGCAGTACACCTCATTCGTTGTGCTAATGATACCCTTTGTCAGGAGGAAAGAAAGAGACTGATTTTTCTAATTATGAAGAGATCTGCATGTTCATCTTAAATCCCAGTTGTGGGGAATCCTTTGGCTTATTTTAAAAATACTTACACAGGTTCTTGCTGAGAAAGGAGGTGGAGAAAATATGCAGAAACCTTTGAGAATTTGTAATTTGAAATAAAGACTAGAACAGAGATTTTTAAATGAAAGAATTCACTTAATATGAAGATTATTATAGAAAAACATTTGTGCTGTATAATGTAGTCCATAATAGTACTATAGCACAAAATATTTAGCTTAAATCTAACACAAATCACCAATCAAAAGCGCTTAAATGAAAGATACACCAGGCTCATGACCAAGAGGATTCAACAGTGTTAAAGTGTTTAATTCTTGTAGATTTAGCGCCATCAAATACCAGCAGGTTCTTTTACAGAGAGACGAATGAGCTTTTTAGCAGTTTTATATGCAGAGGGAGCAGAACTTGAACACCCAGAGAATGTACAACAAAGTTAATTTCAAGATGTGTTGTGAAGCCACAGCAGTTGGCTTGGTAAAGGAATAGATAGATACATCAGTGAGACAAAGCTTAGAGTCTTCATATTATTACAGTTATTTTCAACAAAAATGTGAAGAAAACTCCATGTAGAAAGTGTAATCTTCAACAAATGATGCTGTAACAATTGAATTCATTCTCATTCTCTCTCTCTCTCTCTCTCTCTCTCTCTCCCCCTCCCCCTCCCCTCCTCTCTTCTTTCTCTTTCTCTCTGTGGTACTGAGGTTTGGACTTAAGAGCCTTATGCTTGCTAGACCAGCGCTCTACCACTTGAGCCATGCCCAGCCTGAATGTTCACTTTCAGTGTACGACAACAAAAACATCAGAAATCTTTGGCTGTACCTTACAAACCATAGACAAAAACTAACTCTAAAATAAATCAGTGCCCTGAATTTGAAATCTAAAAAATAAACTTCCAAACGATAACATACTTACTGTATTCCTGTTTACTAAGTATCTACCCAAGAGAAATGAAAACTCAGGTAGTAACTTTCTTCGTAATTGCCAAAAACGACCTAAATTGTTGAATGTCTTTGTGCCCTTGGGTTACAGACTGTTCTCAGACACAGCACTAAAAGTGTGATCCATTAAGGAATAAAGTAAAGGCCTTTGGAACCAAATACTTAAACACCTCTTAATTTAGTATAGGAAAACAATCTGTTCCCCCTCCAGAAAAAACAGGCAAAAAAATTTGAATAGACATTTCACTAAAGAAAGTATACAGATGAAAAATAAATGCGAGATTTATTTCAGCTGTTGGAATTGTTGTCATGGGCTGGTAAGGATATGGAACAACTGAGAACTCTCACAATTGCTGCTGGAATGAAGTTTCTTACAGAGTTAGAGACACACTTACTGAATTCCTGTTTACTAAATATCTACCCAAGAGAAGTGAAAACTTAGGTAGTAACTTTCTTCATAATTGCCAAAAAAAAAAACCAACCTAAATTGGTGACTGGGTAAACAAAGTATGGTTCATCTATGGAATGAATAAAAAGAAGTAATTTCCTGATATATACAGTAACATGGCTGAATCTTTCATATATTATGCTAATTGAAAAAAATCCAGACTCATTTCATATTACATATGATTGCATTTATATAATGTTCTGAAACAGGTAAAATGATAGGGGCACAAAGCCACTCCATGGTCTTGGGGTAAGAGGCCTAAGAGAATTTGTGGGGTGGGGGGTATTAATGAGACAGTTTTGATAGTGGTTATGGTTACATGGTATCCATGTCTGTCAAAATTCATAGAATTGTACATCAGAAATATAAGAAAAAAAGTATATCTTGATTTTAAAAGTATTAAATAAAAACGATTCATCCTGAATCTCGATTAGTTAATTCACGCTGTTCGACTGTTTACTCAGGAATGAGGTAAACCATTATGGTATCCAGTAATGAGAAAGCAACAGAGTTGATGGAGTTTGACCCTATTGTTCATTGACAAAAGTATTACTCATTGAGTATTCAGTAAACCATCCTCCTGTTAAGCCACATAATAAAATTATAAAAGAATGCATCTCACAACCTAAAAGACCTTTTTGTAGTCTCATTTCTTGTTACCTGAACTATTACCTAAGTGAAATTGCCCCTTCAGCACAGTTGATTCAGGATAAATTATTGAAAATATGGAGGAGAAATTTGTGGAGGAAAAGGTTAGGGAAACATTTTCTTAGAAAAAAAAAAAAAAAACCCACAAAGATTTAAACCAAACCCCAGGGGAGAGAAGAGATGAAAGCTGATAGTAAATCCAATCTCAGCAGGAGAATTAAGGTGGATTATTTAGGAGGAGAATAGGGTTATGTGGAAGCTAGAGCAGTTTGGAAGCCAGCAAGTATTCTTGGTGTGCTATCTTAACTTTCCAAATAATGCTGTGTTTTTATACTTGGTAGCAATTTACTGCAATCTAGAAAAATAATGCCTTACCCTAGTTCCTTTCTTGTTAACTTCTACTTATCTGTTTCAGAAGAACAGATCATGCATTTTGAGATATGTAGATGTTGGGGTCCTTTTTAAGGATAGGAAAAAAGTCCAATGAGTAAGAAAAAGCGTTATAAGTAAAGCTATTGCTTTTGACCCCTCAGCTTCAAGAGTATGACCTCTAGCAGCATTTTACCCTTCCTCTAACATCAGAGCAGTAATTAATAATATCCCTGCCTACCTGCCCCCCCTGCCCCATCTGCAATGTTCTAACTTTAAACTGATGAGGAAGAAAATCAGTCTTCTTCAAGATCTTTTTTTGGTCCATTGAGACATTTGTATGTATGTACTTATATCTTTAGAAAAAGAGTCCTAGGATTTTCCCTCCTTTGTACTTCTGTCTTGCTTCAGTTCCTGTACCCATGCTTCATGCTTACAGTTAGAAACCAGACAGTGACTTTGGAGTATGGCCTACTAAGGGCCTGGTGTTTACTCTCTTCTGGTATTGCGGATGCCCTTAGAGCAGCAATCAGGACATTTATGTGCACCCTTATGGCAGCATGGAAGACGGTAGAAAAAGCTCTTTATTTGCCTTACTTTTTTTGGATTTTCAGTTAATGCTAATTTTTTCTTAAGGAAAATAAATGTGAATATAGCATAACATGTAGAAAGCAGAAGTGAGAGCAGAGAGCCCTTAATTGTTACTTTAAAAAGCAATGGCTATTCTTTTTATTCTCTTGTATTTTTCTTGACTTTTTTATTTTTAAAGAAATCTTACAAGTTGCACAGTAAAATTGGCTTTTTGTGTATGAATTTTAACGTGTAGATTTACATGGCTACCACCATAATCAGGCACAGAACAGTTGTATCACCTAACAATCCTTGCCCCATACTATCCTTTTTTTTTTTTAATTTTATTATTCATATGTGCATACAAGGCTTGGGTCATTTCTCCCCCCTGCCCTCACCCCCTCCCTTACCACCCACTCCGCCCCCTCCCTCTCCCCCCACCCCCTCAATACCCAGCAGAAACTATTTTGCCCTTATTTCTAATTTTGTTGTAGAGAGAGTATAAGCAATAATAGGAAGGAACAAGGGTTTTTGCTGGTTGAGATAAGGATAGCTATACAGGGCATTGACTCACATTAATTTCCTGTGCGTGGGTGTTACCTTCTAGGTTAATTCTTTTTGATCTAACCTTTTCTCTAGTTCCTGGTCCCCTTTTCCTATTGGCCTCAGTTGCTTTTAAGGTATCTGCTTTAGTTTCTCTGCGTTAAGGGCAACAAATGCTAGCTAATTTTTTAGGTGTCTTACCTATCCTCACCCCTCCCTTGTGTGCTCTCGCTTTTATCATGTGCTCAAAGTCCAATCCCATTGTTGTGTTTGCCCTTGATCTAATGTCCACATATGAGGGAGAACATACGATTTTTGGTCTTTTGGGCCAGGCTAACCTCACTCAGAATGATGTTCTCCAATTCCATCCATTTACCAGTGAATGATAACATTTCGTTCTTCTTCATGGCTGCATAAAATTCCATTGTGTATAGATACCACATTTTCTTAATCCATTCGTCAGTGGTGCCCCATACTATCCTTTATTAAAACTGTTTTTTTGGTGTTTTTGGGGGGCAGTACTGGGGTTTGAACTCAGGGCCTCACACTTGCTAGGCAGGCGCTCCACCACTTGAGCCACTCCACCAGCTCAAGATGTATCTTTTCAATGTTATTCTTAACTTTTTTTCTCATGGGTTTTCTCCATCCCAACTTTTTTTTAAAGCCAATGGTGTTAAAACTCTCCATTATTTCTTAATTGCAGGTGATTTTGCAGTTCTTCTTAAAGCAGGCATGACTGTAAAGCAAGCAATTGTGTACAACCTCCTCTCGGCCATGATGGCTTACATAGGCATGCTCATAGGCACAGCTGTCGGTCAGTACGCCAACAACATCACCCTTTGGATCTTTGCAATCACTGCAGGGATGTTCCTCTATGTAGCCTTGGTGGATATGGTAAGATATTTGATGTTTGTTTGTTACCCTAAACCTGCAAAAGTAGTATGCAGCTTCCAGACATGGAAGAAATCTTTGGCGTGGTTTGAAGCCAAACTTTTTTTTTTTCTTTTAATATAACCTATTTTAAAGATGTGATATCCAAAATAATCTATTAGGAGAAGACATTTAAGTAGAAGGATTCCTTTTTCGGAACCCAGTTGAGATGCTGAAAATTTCTAATCAATTGCTATCACTATTTAAGTAAAAATAATATTTAGAAATACAATCACAGATAAGTTATGCTTTGGGCTATAAGTGTTTTATTAACAAAATCTTTTTTAGCTTGTTTTACGGCAAACAAGAAAGAAATATTACTGTTTGGTAAGCCAGTGATCTACAGGGAATGGCGTATATTCCAAAGGATTTTTGTATTTTCTCTTATTTCTTTCTAACTTTGGCTTAAAGCTAATGAGTTTAAACATCAGCAATTAGTTTTATTTGCTTTAATCCTCCAAATATGTTAGATAATGTCTCTATAGAACTAACAGTTTGGTTAGATTTTATTTTTATTTTTTTTAACTAGATATTACATTTATTTTTTTCTGGTAAAACTATGATAGACTCATTTCATTATATAGCCTAAATGTTTATCCATAGAATACCTATTTAATATGAAAAAATTTTAAATGTAAATAAGAAGAAATAAAAATAATTTATATTCTGTTACCTAGAGATAGTCATTTCCCTTCCTTCTTAGATTCCCGAATTCCTCATTTCCAATCTTGATAACTTCCAAAACTGAAAACTTGCTTTCTATTCATGGGGAACAGTGAAGCCGTCCAGATACCCTCTACAAGTTCCCTCACCATTCTATTCCGCTTGCTATATCCCTACTCATTTAACCTTTCTCCTCTTATTAAGAACTGTCCATGTACTAGACAAGGCTGGTCCCTCAAACTGTTCCCTGGACCCATCCCCTCCTGCTAACTCCCTTAAATTGTCTCTCCTTTTTCTTGCATCATTGCACCCTCTCTGCTGGATCATTCCTGTCAGCATATGAACTGTTCATTACTTCTCCTTTCTTAAGAAAGGTGAGAGAGAAGAATCTCTCTTAGCTCTAATTCCTACTTTAGCTATCACTCTCTTTTAATCATTTTTTTTTAATTTGTGGACTAAAGTTTGAACTCAGGGTTTCATGCTTGCACAGCCAACATTCTACTGCTTGAACCATACCTCCATTCCATTTTGCTCTATTTATTTTGGAGATGAGGTCTCACAAACTTAATTTGCCCAGGCGGGCCTTGACCTGCGATTCTCAAAATCTCAGCCACCCAAGTAGTTAGAATTACAGGTGTGAGCCACTGGTGCCTGACTATCATTTATTTTTAGATTCTCCTCTTTTTTGAGTAACACCTCATCAGTTTTCTCCCTGACTACTTTGCCAAAACTGCTTTAGTCAAATTTACCATTGACTATGACATTGCTAAGTCCATTGGTCATTTTCCATTCTTCATTTTTCTTGTCCTAACAGCAGCATTTGACAGGTTATCCTCCTTTGAACTTGTTGTAAATATGCTTTTGTAACACCTGGCCTTCTTACACCTTTCTGGCCTTTTCTTTCTCAGTCTTCTCCCCACCACTGAATGTTGGCACATAGCCTTTGAGTAGTCCCATCTCATAGCCTTCAAAATTTATTGCCTGGCATTTCTTATATTTATATCTTTTGCCCAGACCTTTCCTTAAACTCTGATCCATTTACTTGTATGTCTAAAAGACACTGCAAACTTCTGTATTCAGAACTTAGTTCTTGATATTTGCTAACACTATTCCTAGAGCATTTCTTAAAGACTTCATCATCTTATAAATGATACCTGCATTCTTCTAGTTGCTTAGACTAGAAGTCTGAGTATTTACCTTTGTCTGCACTTTTTCTGCCCTTCCCACAATCCACTTTGTCACTAAATTCTGAGGCTTCCTACCTCCAAATCACCAGTACCCCACCAAGCTCAACCATGTCACCACCATCTTTCTCTTTTTAACTGCTCTCACTATTCTATCCTTGCCCACCAAACTCTGTATTAGCACCTCAGCTAGAGTGACACACATAACATCATAGATGAGGTCAGGCTTGCATGAGCTTGTATATTGTATACACTGTGTGCTTCAATATCATCTCAGTCAGAGTGAAACCCTGAAGGCTTACTTTGACCCACAAGGTTTTTCATCATCCTTGAACATTTGCATTCCCTTCCTGCCTTAATTTTCCTAACCTTATCTCCTTTTCTCTCACTTTTTGCTATAAGACTGTCTCAGGTTCATAACTCGTGCTTTTCAGACAGATCTTCTATGGCTAGTTCTGTCATTTCCTCCTTTTCTGAGGGGTTGGGGGGATACTAGAGATTGAACTCAGGATCTGTTGCTTGGCAATTGCACTACCACTTGAGCCATGTCCTTTTGCTTGTTGTTTGTTTTTCAGACCAATAGTGTCTCCTGCTTTTTGTCTGGGCCAGACTCAGACTAAGATCTTCCTCTGCCTCCCAAGTAGCTGAGATTGCAGGCCTGTACTACATGCCTCATTTATTAATTGCAATGGATTCTTTTTGCTAGCTTTTGCCTGGGCTGACCTTGAACTGTCATCTTCCTAAATTAACCTCCAAGTCTCACTTTTATGAGTCATCCTGTCTAAAATTTCAGCCTCCCGCCTTGACATTTCACATCCTCAAATCCCCATTTTTGCTTTTTGTTCTTTACATTTGTGCTCAATCTATTATTAACACACTAAACATTTTACTTACTTACTGAGTTTATTGTCTTCACAAAGTATCAGCTCTGGAAGGGCAGGCATTTTTGTCTTCATGTATTGTAGGAAATGTAGTTTACACTTAGTATTGAAGACGAATGAGTCTAGGAAGCTAGAAATATAAAATGAGTTTTTATGGCAAGGATTTGTAGTTTTAATGAAGAAGTAGCTATTAATTACAAGTATTTTGATTTGTGTTAGGATATTTTGATATACTGTGTTTGTGGAACTGCAGAGAGGCTAGCTAGGAAAGAGAGTTTGGGACATTTTCCTGCAATTGGAAATCTGAGCCAAGTCTTAAAGAATGAAGAAGAGTTTATTGGAAGCAACAGGGAAGGGTGAATAAGTAAGATGAATGACAAATAGCAGCATTCCTTTGGCTAGTAAGTCTACTTCTGGGACTGTATTCCAAGGAAATAAAATAAGCAAAGAAACAAAAATAATCCCTACTAAAGTTGACATGCTTCACAATATCACAGTTATATTGGAAGTGCCCTAAATGTTCAAGAAAAAGGATACAAACTATTCACATATATTTTCTAGGATTTAATGACAATAAAATTAATGTATTTTCTAATGTTAGTGGAGAAAATGGATTAAAAAATTCTATCCATATTGTCACCAGGCAGGTGTTGGCCAGATCATGCAGTCAGGCAGCATGCCATAAGAAAAACATTAAGTTTATCTTGTAAACTTTAGGAGAAAGGAGAGAAAAGGTGTAATTAAAAAAAAAAAGTGCCTGCTTTGCAAGTATAAAGTCCTAAGATCAAACCGCAGTCCCATCAAAAAAAAAAAAAAAAGTCCTGCTAGCACTGGATATAGAAAGTTGCCAGTTGTAATCTTGACAAATTTTGAATTGCTTGTAAAGCTCAGTTTCTTTTTTAGCTTCCAGAAATGTTGCATGGTGATGGTGACAATGAAGAACATGGCTTTTGTCCAGTGGGGCAATTCGTTCTTCAGAATTTAGGGTTGCTGTTTGGATTTGCCATCATGCTGGTGATCGCCCTCTATGAAGATAAAATTGTGTTTGACATCCAGTTTTAACCATTCCCAGTAATCACTGTTGATTACGAGAATGTTACCATGCAGCTTTGCATCTGTTCCTTGTACTGTATGCACATTGCTCAAAGAAAAGTCAGTGGCTTGCACTACTTACAAGTTCCATAGATTTGAGCCTAACCACAAAAGACTGGTGCTCAGTACTGTTTTCTCTGCATGAAAAGGGGTCTTTTAAAAACATAGAGTTTATGATAAAGAGGAGAAAATGGGACTCCATGAACCAATGTTGGTATGTTTGATTAAGACTGTTTAAAAAATAATCATATAAAACACTAGTCTCTATTAGTAGAAACTTCTGTGGCTATGCAGAAATAGAAATTGAACCAAAAATCATTTAAACTTTAAAAAATACTTCAAATGGACTTTGAGCAGACTTCTTTGTGCTAAGTATGAATTGTAGTGCCCTTTAATTCAGCTACATAAATACATATTGCGTGATAGGGATCAACTTGACATGACTTTGAAATTGCATAAAGTAGACTATAGGAACTAGAGGAAAGTCCAGGCTGCGTTAGAGTGAACTTAACATTGGGAAAAGCCCTTATTCTTGAATCTAGAGTTACTATTTTTGTATATATTTGCATAGTGCTTAAACTTGCAGCCTAAACTACTGAAATTTGTGATTGTATGTTTGTGTGAGCTTCAGTTTGATGAAAGATTCATAATGGTTCTTTGTGTTATTATAATACTTGGTGTTTGGGGGGTATTTTTCTGTTTTCTTTTTTTTTTTAAACTTTCATTTTATTTTCGTTTGGATTTTCTTGGGGGGAGGTGGGGTTCAGAGCATGTAGTCAAATGCTTTTTTCCTTAAAATTATCACCCTCTAGAAAATATCAAGTAAATGACCCAGACATAACATTCAATTTTCCAACTTCACAGGATTAACTAGGTTAATTGGGAAATTTAAGTTCTGAACATTCACATTACCTTGCTAGTTTGGCATTGGAACCAAGAGCACATGCTGTGGTTGGCAGTAAAATTGTAAGGTAGAACATCTAAGTTTACCATATCTGATCTGTACATGAGTGTCAAACAGTTGCCAGGATAAAAACTCCATTGATAGCATGACTATCATGGTACCAAGTAAAATGACTAAGCTGAAATCACTTGATCATTTTGTGCCAAGATAGGCTGGTGGTGCCTATCTCTTTTTTTGGGTGCCCTGTTCTTCTACCATAATTGCAAATGATTTGTGAGAAGTGCAAGCCATGCTTATCCTGAATTTTTACTCAATAATTTGTAGTACTAGTCCTATGCATGTAGCTTTCTGTTTACATCTTGTGCCACATGGTCTTCATTTATGCCAGGTAAACTGTATTTGAACTTTGTACAGCTAGCTCTGTTTTACTGTGCTTGGAAACCAGTGTAGCTCTTTTTAAAATCTTACTGTTCAAATATATAAGAGCCAAACTATTTCCATTCCATTTTAAACATTTTCATTTACTCCTCCTTTCCCAGCTCTTTTCCTCTTGCTGTATGAACTTTTTAACACAAAAACAAAACTTTGAGAGCAGAGAGCAGCACACACATCCAGGTATTAATAGGTTGTTGACAGTGTTTCTTCTTTATGCAGTTAGCAAGAGAGCTTTGGTGTTGTTACATCTTTAATTTATGTTTGAATTTGAAAAATTATTTTTGGCTTTCTTCATGGCCTCCTTTGTAGTAAGTAGGCATTTATACATAGTTTTCCACATTGGGCACTGAATTTGGACAGTCCTCATCTCATTGCTTGGCCCTTCAAGCAGCCTAGCTAAAAGGTGCTGACATTTTATTTCATACTGCCAACTTCAAGTGATTCAAATATCTTGCTTTCTGAACCAAGATTAATATTTATAGTTCACTTTTGAGTTTTTATACCCAAGGAGGATTGTGCATTTCAGCATTGAATCTGCTTCATTTAAAAGCAACAACTGGAATATACTCCCATTCTTAAAATAAATGCCTCATTTAAAGCAGATTGGTTATACTAAAATATAAAAAGTTTTATATTCTCTAAAAAATTGTATTATCTTTATTTGCTAGACTTTCTTAATATTTTAGGAGGGCTGTAACAGTTGCTGCTAGTATTTTGATAGGGTTCCACCAGTATTTAGTTCTCACATCATTCTAATGTATATTTTCAAGTCTTACTAGACAATCTTAATTCCACTACATTTCTGTTTGACTCCAACATTCCTTTTAGCTTGACCAGTCTAATTTTAACATGTGTTTGTTGGGGATCATTAATGTTACTTGTACAATGCTGTCACTGTGTGACATCCATATGAATTTTGGTGTATATCACATTGCAGTCAATCAGCTGTGATTATGCTTAGAAATACTATAGTAACTAGATGCAGTGTGAATTATTTCCATTAACAGTAAGTCAGTGGCTTAAATGTGATTATGGTCCTGCAAGGTGATACTTGCTAAAATATCTAAACTTTTTTTGTTGTAACTGAATCATTTTTTAAAAAATTTATAAAGCTGGAAATGATCAAATGCTGTTTTTTTCATTGTCAACAGTGGTGTGTCATTTTATGTGTGTTCCTAATGCTTATGGAACTCTCCCAAAATAAAAGTTACTCAAAAAGAGCAAATATACCAATGTGTTTTCTCTAGTCTGTATTTCAGAACATTCCTTACATTGAAGTGTGACATTTTAAATCGAGGCTGCATTTGCACATAAGTAAATTCGTGATTAAGAATAATGTTAGTTAACTTTATTTCAACCAAAAAATTGTTTAAACAGTAACATATTCTCAGCTGCCTAACATGAAATGGGAACAAGAAGATGACACTTCGGGTTATGAGTTTAGTTGACATAACAGTGCTACACCCCGTCCAGTCCAGTGCTCCTTTGGGTGTTCAGAGGGGAGAGTCATAGCGATCACAAAATTTGTGGAATGGCCAGTGGTGGATAGCGTTCCTCTCCGCTCACTCGTCTTGTACAGTGGAGCAACGTAACTTGGTCGTTTTGGTATATCTACCCTCTTACAGGGCTTTAGCCACATCTGGAAGAAAGTGCATAATACCTCTTTAAGTCAAGGCTGTGACACTTGCATATAGTTGAGCCAACTGTGGTATTCTCAGAGTAAGTTAGTCTGAGATTCTGTGGCCTACATAGAATTAATTTTTGTCAGTAGTGCTCTAATTGCTCAAAACACTTTTTAAAGAACTCACATAACTTGAGAATCAGTTTAGAAACTGAAGGAGAAAAAAATAGTTTTTATTTCATTTGTCAAAAGGTATATTACCCAAAAGGCATATTCTTCATCACTCCATATGTACCTGGGGGTGATTTTTGGTGTTTACAATAAAACAAAAATCAGATATATTTTTAAAGGAGAAAATTGTCACTACTGATACTCAGAATTTTTAAAAATTAATTTAAAGCCAGTCCCCCAAAAGATTTTCATCAATAGTTGTATGAATAGATTATGGGAGATTATTTTAAAGTGGATTATATGTATACTATACTATCTGTTTAAAACATAGTCATAAGATGGCTGCATAGAGGCATGTAGTACAAAGAAGAACCAAACCAGCAGGCAAGTAACTGCCTACTGAGGTGAGTGACTGTGGGAAAACACTAAAATTCAATAGTAGAAAAGGAAATCTTACAAAATCCATAGACCTGGGATGCCAGCACCTCTGTCACAGCTCCATAGCTGGGGGAGGACTCTCCCCTCCATATGGGTGAAGGTGAAAGTGCCAGCAAACTCAGTACTGACAATTCTAGATGTTGAAAAGTTTCATGGCCCGCTTCAGAGATTAGAAGCCTAAAATCTACACAGAAGTTTGTCTTTGGGAAAGGAATTCACTTTCTTTCCCAACAAACCCTCATGTTGGTATGGTAGCCAGTACCATCTTGGGAAGGGATCTATTGTCTGAACTTGGACTGCTCCAGAAGTCAGAAAGCCCTACATATTCCATCCCTGGGACCCACCTCTCTGCAATGACTCAGCAGTTAGCTGCCTTATCAGCCAAAGCTGAGAGTGCTCTGAGGGGAACAAGTGCTGTGCCACAGAAGGAAGTGAAGGGTGCCAACTCAAGCTTGGGGGGATCAGGGAGCCTGCCCTCAGATAGGGTGTGGGAGTCTTCTGTAGTTTTGCAAGGTGACAGAACTGAGGTTGGCTGCCCTCTCCCAGCACCATGCACAGGCACCTGTGATTGGCAAGATGGAGAAAGAACTCAGATTCCACTACTTCCCAGCCCAGAGGGATTCTGGGGCAGTTTCAGTAGTGCCACCATACCTCTGGCTGTAGCCCTGCCTTTCTAGACACACAGCCTTACAAGGACATAGCAACAAGAAAACTATAGACTATCTCCAATGAGCAGGGATGCAAGGTTTGCTTAACATGTGCAAGTCAATAAATATAACAGCAAATAGGCAGAATAAAGAACAATCACATCTCAATACATGCAAAAAAATTTGATAAAATTCAATATCCCTTCATAAAAGCCCTGAAAAGGCTAGGTATAGAAGAATTATAACTCAATATAATAAATGCTATATGTAACAAAACCATAGCTAACACCATAATGAGGAAGTACATTTTCTGTATGAGCAGAAACAAGACAAGGGTTTCCCCACTGATCACTCTTAATAAAATACCAGACATTTTAGCCAGAGACATTAGCAAGAAAAAGAATAAAAGGCTTACAAACTGGAAAGGATGAAGTCAAATTATCCCTCAAATTATGACAGAATTCCTACTCACAACAGCAGTTAAAAAATACGAATAAACCTAAGTAAGGAAGTGAAAGACCTATGAAAATTACAAAAACTAAACAAATTGACATTAGAAGGGGGAAAGACCTCACATAAATTGGGATAATTATTGTTAAAATGTCCATACTACCCAACGTAATCTACAGATTCAATATAATCTCTGTCAAAACAGCAATGACATTCTCTACAAAACTAGAAAAGCCAACCCTAAAACAATGTGGAAGCACAAAAGACCCTGAATAGCCAAAGAAATCCTGAGCAAAAAGAGCAAAGCTGGAGGCTTCACAATACCTGTTTTCAAGATATACTACAGAGCCATACTAACAAAAACAGAATGGTATTTGCATAAAAACATACCCAGACCTTTGAGACAGAATGGAGAAACTCTATACATCTGTAGCCAACTAATTTCTTGGCAAAGGAGTCAAAACACAGACTGGAGATAGGACAGTCTCTTTAACAAATAGTGCTGGGGAAACCGAATATCCTCGTGCAGATAATTGAAAGTTGACCTCTGTCACTCACCCTGTACAAAATTCAAAATAGATCAAAGACATTAATGTAAGAAAGATCTGAAGCTTCAAAACTACTGAAAAACATAGGACAAACACTTCAAGATAACTGGCACAGGCAATGATTTCTAGATAGGACTCAAAAAACCCCACAAAAATTGGCATATGGGACTACATGAAACTTAAAAAGCTTGTGTATAGCAAAGGAACAGATCAACAGAGTGAAGAGACAAACTACAACACGGGAGAAAATCTTTGCTAACTATCTGACAGAGATGACTATCCAGAGTGTATAAAGAAGTAAAAAAAGAACTTTAACAAAAAAAATAATTCAGTTAACACTGGACAAGTGATCTAACTAGACACTTCTCAAGAGAAGACTAAATGACAAGTATGTGAAAAAGTGCTCCACATCAGTAGCCATCAGAGAAACAGAAATCAAAACTATAATGAGACACCATCTTACCCCAGAGTTGATGTTAGATGGTTATTGTTAAACAAAAGAAAAAGAAAAGCCAGGTGCTGGTGGCTCACATTTGTAATCCTAGCTCTCAGGAGGCAGAGATGAGGGGGATCACAACCCTGGGCAAATAGTTTGTGAGACCCTATGTCAAAAAAAAACCCTTCACAAAGAAAGGGCTGGTGGAGTGGCTCAAGGTGTAGGCCCTGAGTTCGAGTCCTAGTACCACAAAAAAAAATCTACCATATGCTGAAGAGGATGTGGAGGCAAAGGAACCCTTACACACTTTTAGTAGAAATGTAAATTAAATTGGTACAGCCTCTGGAAAACAGTATGGAGGGTCTTTGAAAAAAAAAAATAGGGACGGGTGGAGTAGCTCAAGTGGTAGAGCACCTCCCTAGCAAGCATGAGGCCCTGAGTCTAACCCCTAGCACTGCCAATAAATAAAAAGTAAAAATTTTACCACACGATTCAGCTCACCCACTCTTGGATATCTATCCAAAGGAAATGAAATCAGATACAAAAGAGACACCTGTATGCTCATGGTGTTGTAGCACTATTTGTAATATCTAGGCCATAGAATCAGCCTAGTTGCCCGTCAACAGATGAATGGATAAAGAAAATATGATATGTATACAAAATGGGCTATTTTTCAGCCATAAAGATGAATGAAATCCTGTCATTTTCAGCAAAATGAGTGGAGCAGGAGGATAAATTTAAGTGAAATAAGCCAGACACAGGAAGACAAGTATCACATGTTCTCTCATCGTGAAAGTTTAAGAAATAATAAACAAAAAGCAACCTGAAAGTAAAGAGAGGTTACTGAGGACTGGGGAGGGTGCCAGGGGGAAAGGGACAAGTGTGGAAGAAGGGTGGATGGACATGATCAAGCCATGATATGTGCATATATGGAAATATCACAGTGAATCTGATAAATTTATAAAATATATGTTAAGAATTGTAGTTTTTTTCTTCCAGAAAGTTATGAAAATGCTATTGTTTTTTCCCACTTAAAAAAATAAGCCAGGTATTCTGGTTCATGTCTGTAATCCCAGATACTTGGGAGGTGGAGACAGGAGAATTGCAAGTGTGAGGTCAGTCCAGATAAAAAGGTATCCTCACTCTGTCTGGAGAACAAAAGAAAAATAAAAGAGTTGGGTGTGCAGCTCAAGTGCTAGAGTGTTTGCCTAGCTTCCCAGAATCCCACAGATCATGTGAATCCCAGTCTGTATTTTTTCACACCCTAGACCTACCTTTCAAATTATGTGAAGAACTAACCATTTTCTCATGATGCTGTGATGTGAAAACTTAATTATACACAGTTGCTCCTCACTATTGGTGTATTTTCAAGTTTCATGGTTTCAAGTTTCCCTACTCACCAAAGTTTATTTCTAATGGTAAAACCAATGCTGGCAGACCTAGGCAGAGCATCAAAGATTTGAGTCATCTGTGTCCAACATACACATTCCCTGCTAAAGCTGATGAAGGGAATCTTTTCGGGTCTTGTAATGTCAGTGAGTATCCTCTTCATAGTCTATTTAGTGTTAAGCTGTTCATATTTTTGTGTTTTTCTTTTTTTAATTTTTGCTGTGATTTCATTGTTTACAATGACTCTCCAGTGTAGTGCTGCAGGGGAGTCTAGTGTTCCTGAGTGCAAGAAGGCTGTGTGACATGCCTTGTAGAGAAAATACTTTAACTTTCAGGCTGAGTTACAGTGCTGTTGGACCATGAATTAAACAAACAATGTATTTTAAATTAAGTGTTTTTAAACATAAACAAAACAACATTATGTATCAATCAACTAACAAAAACATTGAGACTGCAGAACCTCCCTCCTGACTTTCTCCCAGGATCAATGGTTCAATATTCACTAATTCCATATTAGCAGGAATTTTATAGGACATCATTACCATAAATAACAAGAATTACCTGTGTAAGTATACATAGTCATCCACAGGGCACATACACATACATACACATACAGCACATACATCCTTGGAAAGTACTAACCACTGGCACTGTGTCATAAAGAACTTTGGGATGTGATTCTGCAAGTTTCCTGATCTTCCTATTCCAGCAAGCTCCATCCAGAAATAATCCATGGATGTAAACTCCTAAGTGTAAAAGAAAGAGGTTAAAATAACACTAAACATGCATATTGATTCAGTTCTGGATCTGAAATTCCTATATATGAATATTACACAGGTGGTACTAAGTTAGTAGCCTGAAGCTACTTTTTAAAAGAAAAGCTATCTCCAGAGTGTTTTATCATCCATATTTCAAAAATATTTATACTTTGCCTAGTAAAGGAATGCAGTACTAAAATTAGGTGTGGAAAACAAAAGAGGAAAGGCATTTTAAATTAGTCTACGAGATGATCTTTGTATATGTGAACATTACAAGACTTATATTTTAATTGACCAAAAATTATATTGTCAGAGGCTATGAAATCTGCAAGCACACACACATACACACACTCTTAGTGTAATTCTGGGGAGCCATGGGCTGCTATTTGGTGTAAGAACAGGCATGTTCTTATGCCATGAGAGTTAAATTCCTCTTCCCCCTTTAGAATTTATTCTCACTGCCAAGACCTCTCCTTAGTCAGTACAATGAAGAACACATGGATGAACTCTTTCTAGAATGTAGTAATACACTAATTAGTGGAAGAGCACAAATTAGGAAATCAATGAGAGGCAGGTCACTTCTTCTGGCTATACAGGTCTATCAAGCCTTACAGATTGAGTTCAGGTATCTGCTTATAAAGATATTCACTGTAATTGTTGCACGTGTGTCAAGAGAAGCAATGTAAAACTTAGAAAGACTGAAGTTTTGTTTCCTAAATTGATATGGAACCTTGAGCAATTCATATAACCTCAGAACCTGTTTTGGCATCTAGAGAACAGTCTGAAAACACCTATACAACAAATAACATCTGCTTTGCCTACCTTCTGGAGTTTAAACTCCTTGAGTTTAAATCAAATCAGCTAAACTAGGTGAAAGTGCATTGCACTGCAGAACACAATCTGTGGAGCAGCACTGGCCAGTCTGGCTTTTGAATTGATGGGAATGTTCTCTATCTGTGCCATCTGATATGGTGGCCACTAGCCACATGAAAAATCATCAATGTGACTGAGAGACTGAATTTTATTTTTTTATTAGTGAATATTAATTGTATTAATACTGGGCTTCATGTGACACTTTCATACATGAATAAATCGTACTTTGAAAATATTCACCTCCGATTATCATCCCCTCCTCCTCCTGATCTCCAGTTCCATCTATTTACCTGCAAATGACATGATTTCATTCTTATATTTATTTATTTGTGCTACTGGGGTTTGAATGCAGATCCTTGCTCTACCACTTGAGCTACTGCCCCCAGCCTTTTTTGCTTTAGCTATTTCTTTTGGAGGAGTCATATTGCCTTGCTTTCTCATATTTCATATGTCTCTATGTCACAATTTGTGTAGCTCTGGGGATAGATATCTCTTCTATTTTTATAGTGAGTAGCTCTCTTTTGAGGGTTCAATTCCCACTACCACTCGGGAGGAGAAAACAAACTGCAGTAACATCAACAACAATACAAAAAAAAAAAAGCTAGATATATGAGTATATTAAAAGCAGCAAGTACACCTCCAATAACAATAGAAAGGGAAAGGGCAAAAAATATAGAATGTACTAAGAAGTTAAAGATAAGACTAATAATAATCATAGAAAGAAAGTGAGGAAAGGGAAGAAGAAGCAAGGAGGGAAAAGAAAGGTAAAGAAGATTAAAAAATAAACAAAAACTCAGCAACCCCCACCCTCCAAAAAATAAAAGGTGTAAAAAAAAGTCAATTCTCCTAGCTTATTTCTTTTTTAGAAAAAAGAAAGCTGATTTTTTAATTTTATCAACAGCCATTCTTTAAACATGAATATATGCATACATAATATTCTAAGCACACATCAGTTTTTAATGTTAGTTAATAAGGATAAACACACAACATACATCCTTACCAAAAAAGTCAAAATGCAAATTAAATCTTTAAACAAGTCTTACTAATTCAAAAAATGCTTGTGTTGGGTACCTAGCTGAGATATTTGGATTGCAAAAGCTTCCTTGGAGAACCTCTAATACTGGAATCTGCTGGGGGTGGGGGCAGTTGAGGCTATTGTACTTCCTTCTGGTCCCACTTAACAGGCTTTTGCTGAGCCCATGCCTGCTAAGCTATTCACTTCATTTTCTGCTAGGACTAGGCTAGTCAGTGTTTTGTGAGAGGCACTGCTACATTCCCTCTAGAACATTCCTCCCCCTCAAACACACACACTTTTTTGGGGGTGGAGAGGGGCTGGAGAGCTGCTGCTAGCCCCAAGGAGTTCCATGCCCTGTAGGCTGGGCTGATGTTTCCTCCTAAAGCCCCAGGAGGCATGACAAATGTCAAAGCTGACCCCTTCCAATGTGTTGGAGGGTGGAGGAAGCAAGCACTGCTTGAGATTTGCATGGTGTGGGAAAGCTGCAGAACCACACGGATCTCCTTTTCTCAGCCCTGTGCTTTCAATTCCTGCCCCTTGCAATCCCTGGTGACAGTGAGGTAGACAGCTTTGGGAAGTGGGTAATTTGCAGCCTCTGGCTAGGTGCTTTTAGACATTGCCCCTTCCCCCCCAACACACCACCACCAACAGGGAGGACCAGTATAGAAACTGAGTGACTGACTAGGGCTTGGTGCTTTCAAACCCTGCCTCCCTGCCGCTGACTGCCAATATACATGGAAGCCCCTTCCACTTCCCTTTGCATTGTAGAACACAGCTTCCAGAATACAGGTTTCTCCTCACACTTTTGTCAAAATCACAGTCACTGCCCTGGGCTTATGCTCTCATGCACTGGCTGCCTGCTGGGCTGGTGGAGAGAAGAGGCCCTTGGGACTTGTATATATGAAATTTCTGACTCACTAAACAGCCTAAGGGCAGGACCATACAGGGAAGTTCAGAAAGCCTTCTCCAGCCACAGTACACAGTTCAGAACTCAGGTCACCAGTTGCTTAGGCTGTAAATGTGTGTAGTGCTAGATTCTGTGCTTGTGGACTTTCTGTTGCTTCTAGTCTGCTTGGGGGGAGGGCAGTATGGAACATACCAATATTTCGGGGTTTCTAATTGATTTGGGGAGGGGGTTGAACTCAAGGCCTTGAGTTTGTAGAGCAGGTGCTCTCAAAGCAGACAAGACTGCTTTGAGCCATACCTCCTGTCCATTTTGCTCTGGTTATTTTGGAGATGGTGGTCTTGTGAACTATTTGCCTGGGATGGCTTTGATCGTGGCTGACCATGATCCTCCTGGTTGCAGCCTCCCAAGTAGCTAAGATTACAGGCGCGAGCCACCAGCACCAGCTCTCTGGTTATTATTATCATAATTATTACTGTGGTACTCCAGTACTTTCCACAGCTCCCCAGTTCTCCATGTAGATTTAAGTCCTTGTTTTTGGTCAATCTTGTGGAGATACAGGAGAGTGCTGGGTGTATTTAACCCACCATATTTTCTTCTTCCATTTTCCTGAATTTAAAATTTTAGGGCTGGTGGAATAGCTCAAGTGGTAGAGCTCCTGCCTAGCAAGTGTGAGGCCCTGAGTTCAAACCCCAGTACCAAAAACAACAATGAAATTTTATTGTAGTTTATAATTGTTAAGTGATGGATGTTGTGAAGGAAGACTTAGTCTCTTTCTACTGGGTTTTAACTGATAGAAAAAAATAAGTTAGGATAAGATTTTAGTTTTGTTAATTGGCAGTGTCCAATAACTGCCAAAGCATAATTTTGGTAAAGCTGAATTGCAAAACACTCCTTGAATCTGGGGCAATGTGGCATGTGACCTCCTGAGAAGGGAGCTGGATCTGCCCAGTGATAGAACAATAACATCACCATTTTATAAATCAGCGGCACCTCTTGGAAAATGGAGCCATTCCCAGTAAACAACCCCTCCCTTTAACAAAGTTTCCCATGCTCCCAGACAAGCTCCACCCAAGCTCTACCTCCATCAGGGACCCCGGTGCATGCGCCAACCCCTTACCCTCCCTCTTCTATAAAAAGGCCATGCCTGGCCTGAACCCTCTCTTCCTCTTCCTGTGCTACCTTGTATCTGCCATTAAACCCTGCCCTTGGACGTGAGTTTTCTTGTGAGCTTTCTTTGTGTGGTGTTTTTCCTAACATTTGGTGCCATGACTCAGATCGGGGTGCATTCCAGGCACTGACCTTGCTCTCCTAGCTTCCCCACTTCATCCCTCTCTCTCCCTCTCTCTCTCTCTCTCTCTAACTCCCATTTCCTTCCTCCAGGATCTGAGCTGCTTTACCAGGACCCCTGATCCTAAAAAAATTCTACTCACTAGCTCACAGGGAAGTTCCTCCGCCCCAGTGTGCCTCCAACTGCCATCCGCCACTGGCCAAACTTCCCTCAGGTCCTCTCTTCCTCAGTGAGTCCTCACATGCAGAGCTGTGATCTCTCTCTCACCTCCTCAAAACTCTAGTGCTAGGTTGCAGCTTGCTCTCGTCCTGGGAACTGGGGTCCCCACTAGGGTCTGTGGACCCGCCATGGTGAAGATGTTCCCTGTGGGTATTGTGTTCCACATTTCTCTCTCCTGAGGACCTGGTATTTTGGGGACTCCCACCATATCTCTCCTCAGGTCAGGCCTTCACCATGGGAGTTGGACCTTCCAAAATTCCTCAGACTCCCCATTGGGATGTCTCCTGGCCACCCTTGGGCCCCTACGCCTCATGCCTGATCTTAAGCCCCAAAAGCTCATTTTTCTCTGTAATCAGGCCTGGCCTCAATATCCATTGGACAGTACCTCCAAATGGCCACTTAATGGCACTTTTGATCCCAATATTTTAAGGGATTTATACAATTTCTGTGAGCGCACTGGTAAATGGAAGGAACTTCTCTACATCCAATCCTTTTCTTATCTCCACACCAAACCCTCCCTCTATTCCTCCTGTTCCCCTGCACAGGTCCTACTAGCCTCTAAACCAGTCCCAAAACCAGCAAAATCCTTCTCTGAACCCCCTCCTGACTCTGAAGCTTTCCCTTCTTTCGACCCTGCTAACAAGCCTCCACCGTATCAGAGACAGGCTTCCATTGTTCAGCCGTTG